GAGGTAGGGAGATGCTCGCGCGCAGAGAGGAAGGGCGGCCGAATGCCTGGCTGGCGGGAGGGGAGGAACTCCTGATTGCACTGAACCCTTTCCGACTGCACTGATCCCCCACCCCGGCCGAAACCCTGTGGACCCAGGCTCATACGGGTGGAGTCTGGACTGTAGAGAAAGGCACCCAGAGACTCAGAGACTGGGAGCCGGGAGCCGCAGCGGGCAGGGTCTACAGTTGCGTATGAGTGAGTAGGCGCAGAGAGGTCTGACCACGGAGGTTGCCGCAGCCTCTCCATAGTGGAAGGAGTCGGAAGCTCCAGACTACAGAGACCCAACCCAATTCTGGGCAAGCCCCTGGGGCACCCACACTCTTGCACGGGGAATCTGGGCCGGTCAGGCGGAAACTCAGGGGAGCCACGGAAGGCAGAGGTCTGAGGCATATGCAGGGCTGACAGGAAGCCAAGACTGTCAGCTCAGCCCTGAGACTCCGCCCCATCCAAGCTGAGCACAGAGGCTTCTGCAATTTTGCAAGCCTGATCCTATAAGACTGTCTCCAATACAGAAGGTATCCCAGAGTAGACACAGCTGATACCCACATCCAATGGGCCTGGAGGTCAATTCCTCCCAGGGATACCAACAATAAAGACTGAACTACAACTAGGCTGTACACGCAGTCCACAAAGGGGAGCACCAAGAGTGTCCACCTCAGGTAACTGGGGAGGCTGACCCACTGGCCCATATAGGACACCAAACACACAAAGCCATCCTACCAACTCAGGGAAAAAGTGAAAATGCTGAGATAAGGAAATAGATCTCAAACAAAAGTGATAGAGGAGAACAAAAGACTGGATATAGAGTTCAAAACCACGGTTATAAGGTTTTTCAAGAATTTGCTAGAAAAGGCCGATAAATTTTATTTTTTATTTTTTAAAATATATTTTATTGATTTTCTTACAGAGAGGAAGGGAGAGAGATAGAGAGCCAGAAACATCAATGAGGGAGAAACATTGACCAGCTGCCTCTTGCACACCCCCCACTGGGGATATGCTCACAACCAATGATCATGCCCTTGACCGGAATCGAACCCGGGACCCCCCAGTCCGCAGACTGACGCTCTACCACTGAGCCAAACCAGTTTCGGCAAGGCCAATAAATTTAATGAGACACTCGAGGATACAAAAAAGGACCAACTAGAAATTAAACATACACTGACTGAAATAAAAAATATTATACAGAGCCGGGACCGGTTTGGCTCAATGGATAGAGCGTTGGCTTGGGGACTGAAAGGTCCCAGGTTCGATTCCGGTCAAGGGCATGTACCTTGGTTGCGGGCATATCCCCAGTAGGGGGTGTGCAAGAGGCAGCTGATCGATGACTCTCTCTCATCGATGTTTCTGACTCTCTATCTCTCTCCCTTCCTCTCTGTACAAAATCAATAAAATATATTAAAAAAAATATATATTATAGAGAGACCCAACAGCAGACTGGAGGAACACAAGAGTCAAGTCAAAGACTTGAAATACAAAGAGCCAAAGGACACTCCTCTGGAGAAGCAAGAAGAAAAGAGAATCCAGAAAGTTGAAGATAGTGAAAGAAGCCTCTGGGACAACTTCAAGCGTTATCAACATCAGAATTATGAGGGTGCCAGAAGAAGACAAGTCCAGAAAGAATATTAGCCTTTTATTATATAGGATGACCTTAGCCTCTGAAGGTTTAAATCTCTTTATCAGCAAAATGGTGATAATACCTCCCAAATGTTATAACAATTTTATAAAATGCTATAATTGAGACTCTTAGGCATGCTCTAACATGGTAAATATGGACACTTAGGTTTAAATAACTAAAATTAAAAAATTTTTTTTTTTAAAAAATGGGTAAAGGACCTGAATAGACACCTCTCCAAAGAGGACATACATAACCAGCAGGGAAATGCAAATTAAGATCACAGTGCGATGTGACCTCATACTTGTCAGAATGGCTGCCATCAATAAATCAACAAGTGCTGGTGAGGATGTGGGGAGAGGGAACCTTCGAGGACTGCTTTTGGGAATGCAAATTGGTGAAGCCACTGTGGAAAACAGTATGAAGTTTCTTCAAAAATTAAAAATAGAACTACTATATGATCTAGGAATTCCACTTCCGGGTATTTATCCAAAGAAACTCCAAATACGAATTCCAGTACATATGTGTACCCCTATGTTCACTGGAACGTTATGTAGAACTAGAGGCCTGGTGCACGAATTTGTGCAACGGGTGGGATCTGGCTGGTCTGCCCGATCGAGCTGGGCTGGCGGTGTGTACGCGCGCGCGCCCAGGAGGTTGGTGGGCCAACCCTGCCCCCTGGTCAAAATCAGGTAGAATTCTCATTTGAGGGGACAATTTGCATATTACCCTTTTATTATTTAGAATAGGCAAGATATGGAAGCAACCTAAGTGCCCACCAATAGACAAGTGGTACCAAGAAGACATGGTACATATACACAATGGAATGCCACTCAGCTGTGAAGAGTGAAATCTTGACATCTACAATATGGATGGACCTAGAGGGTATTATGCTGAGGAAAATAAGGTGGAGAAAGACAAATGCCATGACTTCACTAAAAAACAAAATAAATGAAGCAGAAATAAACTCAGATACAGAGAATATTTTGGTGGTTGCCAGATTGGGCCTGGGTGAAAAAGGGGAAGGGATTAAGAAGTACAAATTGCGTCCTTGCTGGTTTGGCTCAGTGGATAGAGCATCGACCTGCACACTGAAGGACCCTAGGTTCGATTCCGGTCAAGGGCATGCACCTCAGTTTCAGGCTCCTCCCCAGTCTGGAAGGCAACCATCAATGTGTTTCTCTTACATCAATATTTCTTCCTGTTTTTCCCTCTCTCTTCCCCTCTCTCTCAAAATCAATACCCTCAAGTGAGGATTAAAAAAAGAAAAAGAAGTACAACTGACCAGTTATAAAAAGTCTTAAGGATGTAAATACAGCACAGGGAATATAGTCAATAATATGTAATAACTGTGCGGTGTGAGATGTGTGATCACTTTGTAAGGTATATAAATGCCTTAGTCACTGTGCTGCATATCCCAAATCACAGCAAAGATGGACCTAGAGGCTGTTATCCTAAGTGGAATAAGTCAGAGAAATAGCGTAGCATTTCACTTGCACATGGAATCTACAGAATATAAACAAAACAGAAACATGCGGATACAGAAAACTGATGGCTGCCAGAGGGGAGGTGGGGGCCTGGTGAGAAAGCAGAAGGGACTGGGACGTACAGCTCTGTGATTACAAACAGTCACGGGGTGGGCGGGAGAGGGGGTGCCCTGGCCAGTACGCTCAGGGGTTAGAGTGCCGACCACCGAAGGGTCTTGGGTTCAATCCCTGGCCCCAGTTGGGCACATGAGGGAAGTGACCAATCGATATGTCTCTCTCACATTGATGTTTCTCTCTCTCTCTCTCCCTCTCAGTGTCTCTAAAAATCAATGGGAAAATATCCTCGGATGATTAACAACGACAGTCACAGGCTGTAAAGGACAGTGTAGGGAATCCAGTCAACAATACTGTGCCAGGTGGGAACTGAAGCATCAGGAGGAACTCTGTAAAGTGTATGCTTGTCTCACCACCACTAATCCTGACCCTGACCAGCCGGACTCAGCTGGCTGGGTGTCGGGCAGATGACAGGGGGCGTTCGGGAGGCTCATATTGATGTTTCTCTCTCACATCCCCTTTCCCGTCCTTTCTTTTCTTTCTTTCTTTTTTAAAAAAAATATATTTTATTGATTTTTCACAGAGAGGAAGGGAGAGAGATAGAGAGCTAGAAACGTCGATGAGAGAGAAACATCAACCAGCTGCCTCCTGCACACCCCCTACTGGGGATGTGCCCGCAACCAATGTACAAGCCCCTGACTGGAATCGAACCCAGGACCCTTCAGTCCGAAGACCGACGCTCTACCACTGAGCCAAACCGGTTTCGGCCCTTTCCTGTCCTTTCTCTAAAATTCAATAAAAACAAACAAAAACCCTAAATAATGTTGAATGTAAAAAAAATAATTAAAAAAAGAAAAAAGTCAGCTAAAAATTGATGGTTACATGGGGCTCACTCTTGTCTTCCTTCTTTCTTCATCATTATTATTTTTTTAATCCTCACCTGAGGGCATTTTTCCATTGATTTAAAAAAATACATATTTTATTGATTTTTTTACAGAGAGGAAGGGAGAGAGATAGAGAGCTAGAAACGTCGATGAGAGAGAAACATCGACCAGCTTCCTCTTGCACACCCACTACTGAGGATGTGCCCGCAACCAATGTACATGCCCTTGACCGGAATCGAATCTGGGACCTTTCAGTCCGAAGCTCTATCCGCTGAATCAAACTGGTGAGGGCCGCTCTTGTATTCTTTTAGTTGGCTCTTGAACAACAACGGAATTAGGGATGCAGGGAAAATCTATGTGTAACTTCAATTCCCCCCAAAATTAACTAATAGCCTACTGTTGAACAGAAGCCTTCCCAGTAACGTAAACAGCTAGTTAACACGTATTTTGTACACTATGTGTAATACATACTGTATTCTTACGGTCAAGTCTGCTGGAAAAAATGTCATAAGGAAAAGAAAATACATTTATGGCATTTATTGGGGGGGGAAAACCTGTGTATAAGAGGACCCATAAAGGTCAAATCTGTGTTGTTCAAGAACCATCTGTATTTGAAAGTTTCCATGATAAAACATTAAATAAAAAGCAAAACAGGTAAGATAAGAATGACAGTCACCGGCAAACATAGGAGATTAAACCAAACCCAGAACAAAGAAATAAACACCAAATAAACGAACAACAAATAAATCACACAAACAACAAAAACAAACAAACAAATCATAAACTGACGGTGGTCACTGTGGGAGGGGCTGGGGGCTGGGGTGCAGCACGCGGTGGTAGTTAGAGCGCGGGGCAGTGCACTGGCGGGAGCTGGAGGGGGGGGGGCAGGACTGACTGAGGAGCGAGCCTGGGGCGGCCTCACCTTGCTGTCCGAGTCCACGCGCTCGTCCACGGAGTAGGAGTCATAGTAGAGGCTGAAGTCGTCCCCCACCACCGTCTCCCACTCCTCCAGGGGCCCCGCGTTCGCCTTCTCCGGGGCCATCTCTCCCGAGCCCCGGGCAGACCCCAACTCCTCCAACTAGGAGAGATGGGAGCACTGAAGCTGCTGGCACCCACCAGCCCGCTTCCCGAGGCTGGGACACAGCCCGCGGGGCTCCCCTGCCCCCCACCCCCCCCAGGAGAGCCCGCAGGAGGCCGTGCCGCCTCGCCCGCTCACCAGGCCGCCTCCGGAGTTCAGCTTCCTCCTCTTGGCCACATCTGGAAGGAGAGAAGACAGGAGCCAGGCTCGCATTCTAAGCTCTCAGCACAGGCCTCAAGCTGCAGGCGGGCGGGCGGACTGACCTGAGGCCACCTTCCCCAGGGGGTGCACGTCGTCACTCATGCGGAAGTGCTGCACTTCGGGGGGCCGCTTCTCGGGGACGGGGGGCTGGGGACCGAGACGAGCACACTCAGGGCCAGGAGCGGATGTGGTTTGGCCTGGACTAGTCTGGAGCCCCCAATGGGGGTGGGGTGGTAAGTCACACCCTCAAAAATGCCATCCACAGCTGCAGGAACCAGATGGGGCTCCGAGGAGAACTGCCGCCTCCCAAGCACACCCCACACCCACCCCTCGCTAGTTCCTTCGGGTGTGCAGCAGGCCCGCTTCCCATTTTACAGATGAGAAAACAAAGGTTATTACTCTAACCTCACGCAGAACTGAATGCTGCCAACACCCTAACAACTCTGCACAGGCTGAGCGATCCGGGCCCGTCGCTCCCGAGGCCGCAGGAGCGGCCTTTACAGCGAGCAGGGCAGCGTCTCTGGGCAGCGTTCCGGGGCTGGCTTTGAGCTAAAAGGGCTTGAAGTTCCCTTACACCGTCCTTGTCTTAAGAGTAACGGCGACATTAACTACACACATAAGTCTTTAACAGTTGTCTCTCCTCCTCTGCCCAGAGGTAAACTGCAGGAACCTGCCTGTTCGCACACAAGTCCCCGCCCAGAGTGACAGACAGCCCCGGGCAATGGCCTCCCTGGAAGCCCTGAGGCCAGGTGACACAGAAAGCCCACAGGGGCCAGCTGCACCCACCGCCCGCCCCGCCCCGCCTCACCTGTCCGTTTCCCGGTTTGGACATGGTTTTCCTGGCGCGGTGGACCTTGGGCTGCCCCTCCGGGCTGGTTGTAGCAGGAGGGGGCTCAGGCCCCGCTGCTGCCCCCTGGGCCCCAGGCATACTCAGCAGCCTCATGGCCAAACTCTGGACCGAGGGGGGTGACTTCCCCGCCCCTGTCATTGACATCTTGGCGCGGCTGGGACAGGCGCCCCCTTTGCTGGGGGAAGAGGGGAATGACTTGGTGGCATGGCCTGGAAGACAGCGGGCAGGTAGGCAAGGCAAGATGAGGGGGAGGGCAGTCACAGGGCGCCCCACCTCGCCCCCGCCTTCACCGCCGCTCACCCAGCAGGAGGCGCCCTCCCTGGAGGTCCCCGTCGCCCTCAAGAGCCTCAGGTTCGTCCCCAATGAGCGGTGTGGCTCCCACAGGGGTGTCGGCCCCCTCGTCGCCAACAGTCACGGTGACAGAGGCTGGCGATGAGGGGCCGGCAGGCTCCAGGGAGTCGGGGTTGGCCTGGGGCAGGGGCTCCTCACTCCGAGGGGCGTCCCCCAGAGCGCCATGGGCTGAAGGGGAGAGAGAAGTTCAGGGCTCGGGCCAGGGCCTGTGCCTGGGGAGGGAGTGGTTTCAGCTTCACTCACCTCGCTCGACGGCGCCTCGGGGCTCCTTGTCCAGCACCAGAGCCCCCATCTCAGCAGGGCCCTCCCCCTGAGAGGCGACACAAGGGACGGGAGCGCTGGTCAGCCCGGGAGGAAGTTGGGGGGCCCAAGCCGCCTGGGCCCTGGGAAGGGAGAGCAGGCTCCGGGGCCTACCTCTCCCTCTGTGGGCGCCCCCCCGCCCCCGGCCCCGGCTGCTCGGAGGGGCCGCCCGGCCCCGGCCCCGGGCCCGCGTCAGCCCCCGGCCTCTCGGCAGCCCCCGCATCTCCGGGCCGGCGAGCAGAGGAGGGGGCGGGGGCGGGGCCTCCGCGCCCCGGCCCCGCCCCCTCCTGCCGGCGGCACGCGCCGCTCCCCCTTTGTCCCCCAGGCCGCGGGGACCCCGGGCGCCAACCCCTCCGGCGCCCGCCGCCCCCCAGCCCGGCGGGCGGCCTCTCGCGCCCCTCGCGCGCGCTCCCGGGGCGCCGGGGCCAGCCGCCCACGCGAGGACGGCCGAAGGCTGCACGCGCGCCCCCGCGCCCACTCCCCCCACCTCCCACCCCCTGGCCCCCTCATCCGCCCCCGGTGCTGGCCCTCCGGGCGGCGGGAAGCCCCGCCCGGGCCCCCCGGCCCCGTGGCACCCCCGGAGCATTGCACGGGCGCGCGCTTCCCCCGGGCGCGCGCGCGGGCATGCACCCGCCTCTCCCCCTCCCCTTCCGCACCTCGGCGGCCGCCGCTGCCGCTCCCGCCGCCGCCGCCATCGCCGCCGCGCTGGGGCCCAGCCGGCGGGCCGCCCCGGGTCACGTGGGCCGGGAGGGCGGGCCGGGGCGGGCCTTAAAGGAGCCACCGCGCGCTTTCGGGCCATTTTCCCCGGAGAGCCGCCTCGGCGCGGCCTGCGCGGGGGCCGTGGGTCCTGCTTCAGCCCCGCGGCGCGGGTCCGGGGGGCCTCCCCCGGCGCTGGGAACCGGCGGATGTCGGCCTCCGGGCCGGGGCTGTGGGTCCGCCGGGCCCGCGTGCCGCTCCCTCGGCTAGTGCTTCCCGCCCGGGGTGTGCGGCGGCTGGCTGGCCTCCGTCCGGGCCTGGCTTCGCGAGAGCACCGGGGCCACGGGGACTGGCTGTCCCTCCCCGAGCCGGCGCCCCCCTCCCGCCCCGGCCGGCCTTCCCCTTCGGTTCCCCGGCTCCGGGGCCCTGGGACTCTGTGGGACTTGCTTCCTGCGCCTTCGCAGCCCGCTGGCTCACCGCCACTTCTACTTCCTAAATAAACTAAGTTATTGGAAAGAAGGCTGGTTCTAGCAGGCTGCTTCACGTCCCCTCTGTGGGGAGGTGTCTCTTCCGTTTATATCAGACACGCCACCCCAACACGTGCACTGGGAACCCCATAGGCCCGTCACCACTGTCCGGTGACAGTGCCCTTTTGTGCCAAATCCTTCACAGCACAGCCAGGCACTGCGTGGTCCCAGCCCGCAGAGGAGTATGAATATTGGGCCCAGACGACTATAGATAGGACTATTTAGGGTATACGGTTCCTTTAGGTACCACATCTGGTCGAAGATGGGAAACTGATGATTTCACAAACAGTATTTGACACAGACAGGTGGTTGGGACATAGGCCAATTCAAGGCTTTCTGGGAACTGTAGTTGTTTCTGGTTAGGAACTATTCCAGTTGACTGGGCTTTCTGGGAATTGTAGTTTCCGGAGACCCACACATCCACACCTTCCCCAGACCAACCATAGGCTCCTGCCTGCAACTTGGGTGGCAGTGACACCTGTAGCCCACCCCTGGCCTCGGTACCATACGCCTGGCCGTTGTGCTCCAGGTGCCTGCAGGTGCTGAGGTTTAACTGAGGGGCCCCGGCCAGAGAGCCCGCTGGTGACACACTCCCCTTCCCTGCCAGCCTGGGACCTGCAGGAGTGACCTCTGGGTACTGAGCAAACAAGAGGCTGCTTAGGGCGGGACGGTCATTTACAAGCAGTTGCCAGACAGAGTATAAAGAAAAAAATTTTTTTATTTTTTTTATTTTGTGGAAAACAAAAGCAAAAAAAACCTAAAACCCCAAACTCCAGAAAAAAATCCTAAAAAATACGTGTTTTTTAAAAAATACTGTATAAGTCTCTACTCCTCTCCCTCCCCCTAACCAGCTCTTCTTGTGTCCTTTCATCTAAGTGCCCTCTTCCCACCCCCTTATTCCCATTCTGGCTATGGTGCCCCACTTCCCGATACTACCCAGGATGCTCATCCCCATTTCTCTTACCTGCCACCTTGTTCTTCCTAGAAGTATGGTGAGCCTTGTACCCACCGTCCCATCCCCCAGCATGCAAGTCCCCCTTCCTTTTCTGGGGTTCAATAATCCTTCCCCCTACCAGGCCCTCTCCCAAGAATCTATTCTAAGCAGGAGCATGTATGGAATCCTGTCCAAATACCCTCCCGTTCCCACCCACCCTGCCTCAAGAAATGGCAGCCCTCTCCCTGGGCAGCTTGGCCAGGAAAACACGTTTCCAGCCCCTTTGCCTCTCATTCCGGAGGGCCGTTCCCCCCTCCACAGACCCATGCACCCCGAAGAGGAGTCCGCTCTGGGGGCCGCACTCCCCTGCCTTCTCAAGAACCACCCTCGCCCTCCCCGTTCTGGAGGCGGGCTCTGTCCACGCAGTCGTGGGCCCTCCCTCAGGTTGTGTGTGTCTGCTCCGGCTCCCCGCCGTCCCTGCGGGTCCTCGCCCCCAGTTCTCCTGGGCCAGGGCCCCGCCCGCGGCCCCGAGCCGGGCTGCGCTAGCGGATGAGGACGTTGATCTCGGCCACGTTGGCCTCCAGCACGTTCTCGGCCGTGGTCTTGCCGTGCTGCTCCTTGAGGTGCCGGCGGATGGCCGGCTTGTGGGCGAAGCGCACGTCGCAGTAGGAGCAGCGGTAGGGCCGGGCCCCGGAGTGCAGGTTGAGGTGGTCGTGCAGCGTGGACTTCTGCGTGAAGCACTTGCCGCAGATGCCGCACGAGTGCGACTTGACGCCGCGGTGCACGTTCATGTGGCGGTTGAGGTTGCTGCTGTGGTTGAACTGCTTGCCGCAGCGCGGGCACATGAAGATGAAGTGCTGCGCCCGCATGTGGAAGACCAGCTTCTCCACGCCCTGGAAGGCCTCCGGGCACTTGGTGCACTTGATGTTCTTCAGGGAGCCGCCGCCGCCGCCGAAGCCCCCGGGCAGGGGCCCCCGGCCGCCCCCCGCCCCCAGGCCGCCCCCAGCGCCCCGGGCGGCCATGGCCGCCGCCGCAGCCTCCACCAGGCCCGAGGCGGCCCCCACGCTGGCCCGGCCGCCGGGGATCAGCAGCAGGCCCTCCCCTTCCGCATCCTCGGACAGGCTGTAGCAAGCCTTCACCACGCCCTGCGGCGGGGCCAGGGCGCTGGGGGGCACGCTGCTCGGGGCCAGCTCCCCCAGGTGGCTGCCCACGGAGCCCGCGAGGCCCAGGCCTCCGCCCAGGCCCCCGGGAGGCTTGAGGCGGTGCGCCACCTCCAGGGCAGACTCCACCTTGACGATGCAGATGTCAGACACGTCCTCGTCCTCGTCCTCCTCCTCGTCCTCGGCTTTCAGCTCCAGGTCCTCATCCAGCGGGAACTCCAGCTTCACAGGCCGGAGGAGGGGCGGGGGCAGAGGGGGCGGGGGCGGGGGCTTGGGGGCTGGCTTCGGGGTCCTGGCAGGAGGGAGGAGGGACTTGGTGGCACTGACATTGCTCACAAGGCTGGCGTCGCCGACCCCATCCTCTTTGAGGCCTATTTTGGGCTCGATAAACTGGCTGAGGGCGTTGCGGCACTTCTCCACCACGTGCTCCATCTGCAGGTAGGAGGCGGCCGTCAGGTAGTTGACGATGTCCCGCACGGCGAACTCCAGGGCGCCCGTGTAGCAGGACAGCAGCAGGTCGGCCACGATGCGCGCGCTGTGCATGAGCGAGACCTGCAGCTCGGAGCTGGGGTTCAGCAGGAACTGGTCCCGCAGGAAGGGGGAGCAGGCGGCCAGGATGACCTTGTGGCCGCGGAACTTGAGGCTGTCAGCCACAATGGTCACGTCGCAGAACCGCTCCTCGGCGCGGAGCTGGTTCATGTTCCGCAGCGTGGCAGCCTCGTGGCCCGGCAGCTGGAAGCGCAGGACCTCCACCCCAGAGGCCATTGTGGCGGGGTGGGCAACCCTGGTTGGAAGGAAACGGGTCAGAGACAAAGGTCTCCGGCTCTCCGCAGGCAAGGCTCCGGGCCCCTCGTCCCCAGCTTGCCCGGCCCCCCAGCATCACATCTCCCAGTCTCCAGGCCTCAGTTTCCCCAGCCGGGGGGGGGGGGGTGCGCGCGGGCCCTCCCGGGAGAGGGAGGCGTGGCTCCCGGGGGCGGGGCAGCGGCATCCACACCCCCCAGTCCCAGCGCCAGCCCGCGAGGACCAGGCGAGCCCGCGTGCCACGGAAACGGGAGCAGAGGCCTGAGGCTGGGGCTCCGGAGCCCGGGGTGCAGGACCTCCTCACCCCGCCCCCTTTGCTCGCCGCCTCCTCCTCCGCCCGCACTCCGCACGTCCGCACGCGTCTTCACGCCCCCCCCCCCACCGCCCGCACGCACGGTGCACGCCCCCACCCCCTCGGAGCTCCGTGCAGCCCGCCGGCCCCAGGCCCGGAGTGCACGCCCTCTCACCTGGCCCTGGTCCGCGTGCTGTGTTTTTGCCCCCCTCCTTCCCCACCCCCCGGGGCCGCCGGCGCCCCCACGCTTGGGCCGGGCCGGGCAGCGCGCAGGCGCGGGTGCACGGGGCGCGCGGGCCGGTTCCGCGTGGGCGGCGGCGGAGGGGCGGGGGCCGCTCGTGCCGAGGGCTCGGGCTCCGCGCGCGGCGGCCGCGGCGAGAACTCTGGGAGGAGGAGGAGGGGAGGGAATTAAAGGAGCAGGAGTCCCCCTTCCCGACCCCCCGCTCAGCACCAGCCCCCCCCCACAGTTAAAGGGCCGGAGGGCCCGGCCTCCCCTTTGGCCGGCATTATTTGTCCGCCAGAGCGGAAATACGCTCCGCCCCTCGGCCCGATACCCCTGCTCGGTGCCCCCGGGCGCGAGGGCCGGTCTGCGCGTGCGCCCGCCGCTGCCCCGCCCGCCGCGCCCGCGCCCGCGCCCGCCGCCCGCGCCGCCCGCCGGCGCCCAGTGCGCGTCCCCGCCGCCGCCCGTCCCGCCTCTCCCGCCGGCGCAGCCACCTGCTGCCGGGGCGGAGCCCCAGGCCCAGCCGTGCCCGGCGGCGAGTGGGAGCCGCGGCCGCAGGCCCTCTCCGCGCCGGTGGCCGTGGCCACGCCATCGTCCCCTGCGGATGGGGTGGGCGCGCGTCCACACCCCCAGCTCCTGCAGCGGGAAGCCGCCCGCCCTGCAGGCCAGGCAGCCCGGTGCCCTCACTGTCCCCATCCCACGTGCAAAACCTACCATCCTCCCTCCTCTCCATTAAAAAAATATATATTTATTGATTTCAGAAAGGAAGGGAGAGGCAGAGAGAGAAACACCAACAATGAGAGAGAATCACTGATCGGCTGTCTCTCACACGCCCTCCGCTGGGGATGGAGCTGGCAGCAGGGCCTGTGCCAGACCAGGACCCTTCGGTCTGCAGGCCCGCGCTCTACCCACTGAGCCAAACGGGCTAAGGCTCCCCATTTAAAAAATATATATTTTATTGATTTTTTTTTACAGAGAGGAAGGGAGAGTTAGAGAGATAGAGAGTTAGAAATATTGATGAGAGAGAACATCGACCAGCTGCCTCCTGCACACCCCGCACTGGGG